CCAAAAGTGCTTGCTTTGGATTGCTTTTCAGGTCCGAAGGTCAAGGTCATTGTTACTATAAATAGAAAATCTGTTTTCGTGCGATAATTTGAGTTTCCTTGGGCCGATCAAACTCAAACTTCATGCAGTGCTTCCTTACCAAAAGTGTTTGCTTGGGATTGCTTTTCAGGTCCGAAGATCAAAGGTTAAGGTCACTATTACTATAAATAGAAACTTCACTAAAACTGTATACTGGACGTCTTCGATCTACCACTTGACTCACCGTGTATACCTCTGAAATGCCGTCTTACTCCAAATGTTATTGACAACACTAGCTGTTTAACATCATAATCCACAAGTTTATTCATTTATTTATGGGAAACCATCCGAAAATCATACAAATTAAACTTGGAATTGTGACAATGAGTATCCATAGCAAGTTCCTTAAAACTCAAAATGATGCCACCCAAAAACATAATCTATGATTACTGCTTACTTTTAACATTATTTCTTGAAATGAAAAGTGTATCTATTTCTTCGTAATCTCCCAGCTTCCTGCGCAGGCGACACATCCACTTCCGTGGAATTCTTGTATATATTTATATATTATAAACAATTGATATGGAATATTAATATGAATATTAATTGTAATTAATTTGTCATAATATTTGTTTCGCCTCGCTAAGTTTTGGAATAAAATACCAAAAAAGCACTAATGGAACCAGTTATTTTGTTTGAAATATGTATACAAATGGCTACTGTTTTTGTAAAACATATTGGGACACGACTATTTTGACAATTTGACTAAAGCACGTCCGCGATTATCCGGGGATTACGCTCACTTACACTTTGAGAGTGGAAATAATTGTTGCAATTAAGTATAATGCAAAGGTTGTATCTATAAACTGTATCAGTTTACGATCAATAAAGAATTACGAATTACGAGAGTGTTATTACAGTGAGGGTATTCCCTGGAGTTCGAGAGTGTAATTACAGTGAGGGTATTCCCTGAAGTTCGAGAGTGTATTTACAGTGAGGGTATTCCCTGAAGTTCGAGAGTGTAATTACAGTGAGGGTATTCCCTGAAGTTCGAGAGTGTAATTGCAGTGAGGGTATTCCCTGAAGTTCGAGAGTGTAATTACAGTGAGGGTATTCCCTGGAGTTCGAGAGTGACTCACAATAAGCCTAGCACAGTCACGAACAATATAAGAATGTTATGACTAAGCATCTGAAAAATATTAGTTCATGTAATTTTTAACTTGGGACCTGATCGTTTATGCGGAACAACCGGTTTGTCTGTTTTTAAATGTAACATTTTCGGCTATAAGTCCTTGCGGACCTGCAAATGTTTATGCAGGCTTTGCAAGGCTTTGCAAGGATCGCCTGAAAGCTGCTTCAGATTACTGAGTCCGACTTTATTTCATAAACGATAACCGAAAACGGCCCATATCACATGCAGTGTCTAATATAAAATAATATATTAGTTTCTGTTGGTGATGTCGTGTTTCTCTTATTACGCACACCAGGTATATCACATCAAAATAGGAGTGGGGGAGGGGGTTTACCTGTAGTTATAGGTTTGTTAACTTATTTTTTCCCAAGCAGACTACCGATTGATTTTATAATACACATACATTGAATCGACTGTTAGTTTTAAAATTTCGTCGAACAGAAAAACACCCCACCAGTAAGCGAGGAGTTCCCTCTCAAGTCATAATAGCATAGCTAGTTTATTTATTAATCCGTGACTGAGGCTATTTTTGGAGCTGAACAAAATAAGTTTGTACTCGATACGGTTGACCAGTCATTGTAGACGTGGATCGATCTCGCCATGACGTTGTAAACAAACAAGCACCAAGATGTCGAACACAAGGATTTAGGGGGGCGTGTGTATTTTACACGTGTGGAGGATCAGCCCAGGACAGGTAAGGCTCACACGGTCATTGTTACGCTAAATGATGTTCAAGGCTTAGGTATCCATATCCGGAAGTCAGACATCAAGAAATAGGGCTGGGGTAGACATACATACATGAATGAGGATAGATTTGGACAATTCGACTCTGTTAGATAAAAAACATCTTCGATCCTGATAAAAGGTTAATAGTTTAGTTACAGAATAACCATATCATTTATTTTTCTTTAACGAAGTCATCATCATTACTCTTATTTCCCCAGGACTATAATAGACTGGAACCATCTTCAGGACGAACAAGTCCTTGTAAAATCTGTGGAGATTTTTAAATCTCGTCTCCACTCGGACTAAAAACCTCCATGCGCTCTCCCCTTCCGTTGACGTACCTATACAGATACAGAGATACAGATTGTATAAAAGTTATACACAACACGTACAATAAAAGGGTTTATAAATAGTAATCAACAGCGAAATCGGTCTACACAAATGTATATATACTAGGTATATTTAGCAGAAGAGGTCAGGTCTATAATATACCAAGGCAAGACCTATATATCATAGAGGTAAAACATGCATAAGATAGCATACTATACTTACATACGACAACAAGCTAGGTCAATAATCTAAGAATAGCTGGCTAGATTTATAACCAGGCATTACTTGAGTTTAGTGTAATTCCTCGCGTTTCGTAGATGTAAATCGAATGACAACCTAGGCTTAAAAAGCGGACTATGCTGTCATTAAAAAGTAGGGTTTGTCTATATAAATACATTGTAGCAAGCTTAATCTATAAAACATACATTGTAGCAAGCTTAATCTATAAAACATACATTGTAGCAAGCTTAATCTATAAAACATACATTGCAGCATGTTTTGTCTATTTAACATACACTGTAGCATGCTTTGTCTATATCACACACATTGTATCAGGATTTGCCTATATAACATACACTGTAGCAGGTTTTGTCTGTATAGGTCTATGTAAGACAGCAGGCTAGTTTCATGTTAGATAGCTGGCTATGCCTATGCAAGATAACAGGCTAGGTCTATGTCAGATAACAGGCTAGGCTTATGTAGGATAGCAGGCTATGTCTATGAAAGATAGTAGGCTAGACCTATGTAAGATAACAGACTAGGTCTATGTAAGATAACAGACTAGGTCTATGTAAGATTTAAGCTAGGCCTGTTTAAGATAGCAGGCTAGTTAGCCACTTAGAGCTAGAGACATGATCTTCATATTAGAGACCACGTGACTGAGTGACTTCGCTCATCGACCAAGCGATACATTATGTTAATATAACTAGCTCCTAATGGTTGTAATAATACCATAAAGATGTGGAAAGTTACAAATGTGTATCACGGCACAAAACACAAATAGTACGGCTGGTGGTGACTAATGCCACTATATAGCCCTACCAAATTCAGCTGGCATTCATAAAGGCTGTGCATGTCATGGATCAATTGTTGACGTCATCATTATTATGACATCATAATTGATATGTTGGATACCACTGACCCTCCTTGGGCGATGGCTGTTCTTTTCATAGAACAAGCAAACACGATACATACATTATTTGAACTAAATGCTGAATAATAATAGATGAAATTGAATTTACTATCATAAAGAATTTTATGATAAAAGTGCTAAATTTGAACTTTGATTTAATATTATCATTATATTCGTTTTTTGGCGTATTTTAACCTATAAACTTTCATTCAATCTATACCATCGTGTGACATAAATATAATTAATATCCTGGAACTATATGTGTAAATTGTTTCTCCTGAACTTGTGTCAATTTAGATAAGTTCCATTTAGGAAGCTTTTCCTTTAAAGTCGACATGTGTCATTGTTGTCAGATTAACTCATGCATTTACTTTGTCCATCTTATACCATATATCTTTCAACTTAATTATATTACGTAAGAGGATTAACTTGTCATACCAGATCGGACACTGCATTCAGTCTCCGACAAAGGACAGCTAATTTGGCTTACCTGGTCGGGTACGGCCGAAGTCTGAAAGGCCGATTGCTATGAATGACAGATGTCACTCAAACTAATTACTTAATTGCTTTTGTGTAAATGTAAATTTGTAACAGCAGTTAGGAGCTAGGCATCGGACTGTACGGGTGTGTTTTTGGATACTCCAGAAATCACCCACCGACCTAGAGAAAGTTATTTTAATAAATTTATATTTGGACCATACAACATCTCCAGAACTTTTTCTTTTCAAATTGTATAACAATACCCCACAAAAGTGTTGTTACATTACTATGAGGTGAACGGATTCCAAAAATGGTAAAAATAAGTATTGAACTGCTTTTTGATGGCATTCATAGGCAATATGAATGCCAACTGAAAGCAGTTCAATGCTTAACAGATTGGAAACTTGAATGTAAAATGGTAGACCAAGCTTTCAAAATCTTCATCTAGAGAACTGTAGATGCAAGAGTTTTGTCCTTCTATAAACAAGATGAAAAATAAAAGAGTTGATATTATGGAGTCATTATGAGGTGTTGTAGATATGTTAGGGATATATTCTCTTTAGCTCATTCAGTAGAGCGTCAGACTAGTGAACCAGAGGTTTTGGGTTCGATTCCAACAGGAGGTTATGGAAAAACATAATGACCTCTGTTCAATCTATTACGCCGAACAAAATAAATTGCCAATACAAATCGGAATCTAGAAAGATTCGCAAAACTTATATAAAATTGTTTCCATATCATGATTACAGTTTTATTTCAGTTCTTATTGACTAACGTAGTCCTCAGAATAATAGTTAACAAATACAAAATATATTCCTCGGCAAATCCATGTCAGGACAACCCGCATTTAGGGTACTTTAATACAGTTAAGCACTTTTGCAAGACTTTGCAACTTCATGATGGTGGCTATAAATACTTAATATCATAAATAGCGTTTGTCATGCCCGACTGCGCTGGATGTTATATAGTAACGAAGTAAGTTGTACTGTTGCTAAAGGATATTACCCTTTGTTTCACAAAAACGTTTGACCTAAATTGTATCATTGCTGCCGTAGAAAAGGTCAACTGTTGCTGTCAGAAATTCCGCTTCGGTCGCAGTGTAGCTACCACTGTCACCGAAATCTGACCGAGATTGAGTTGAAATCATGTGGCACTCTTGTCTTGTCGAACGGAAGTTGGATCCAATCGAGCAAACAGCATGTGTACAGACGCTGGAGTCGGTCAATAGTGGAGCACGCGGCATAATTTATTCCTGATTGTCCCTGTAACGGAGGCAGGCCCACGCTCTATGGCTCGCTGCATGACAAACGCCACTGACAGTCAATTTTAGGGATTTAGCAGGTCTCCAAATTTCTCTGGAATGGCGGGTAAGTGTGAGGGAGACTTTATCATGGAGTTTTGGCTAGCCTGGTTCAATAACATCCTTGTTTGCATGCCAACATATGGTGGGGGAGTACCTATGGCGGGCTCCTTCACACGCGTGTGGGTGTCAACAGAGCTATTGATCAGGCGCTGTAATTAAACAATCGACTGAGGTACGAATGCAGTCGTATGTAATTGTTTAAATATTATCCTGCAGATTTATATGTATATGAAAGACTGTCGGTACTTATAATATTATAGTTGATGAGATATCACGACTTTTGCTTACACCATATGGTGCACAGTATTGCTATAATTACCTTCATATACGTTAATAGAAATACATTAATCCATAAAATGGTACCTAAACTGTTTCTCTTAAACTGTATAGTTATTGGCAATTTGAATGTGGATAAATTGAATGATGCATAATTAATGAACTACATAGCCTTATGATATAATTACTGTTAATTGGTTGTAATTATTATTTATAACTAACAATGTTTAGTATTATGACAAATGACGAACTGTGTGCAATACGGAGACAAGTTAGAGCAATTGGCTAACCCTCGCCATATGGTACACATGCACGACAATGTCCAGTCCTGGTCCAGTGCCGACAGCTCTGACCACGGAAGTACGAACAGAACCAATCTCTCATGAACAGTATTTTTTGGTTTGCCACGGTTTTACGCAGAAAATAACAAATGTCTGGATCTCTGCATGTGCACACAATCATAATCAGTGTTCGTTGAAAATAAGATTCAATCTGTTTAAACATGAATTATTTCTTCTACTGTTGCCCGAGGTCTGCGTTCGAATCCTACTTACAATGTAACTGGTTCTAACGAGGAGTTTTATCGGCTAGGAACTGTCTCGTTAACTGAATCCGGCTGGATATCGCTTTCGAATATGAAGTTTAAAAGATAGTGAAAGGATAATTTCAATATATCTGAGAAAGAATTGTGTATTTATCATGTTTGTAACCTGTCACGAAAATAAACGATTGACTCTTAGTAAGAAGTGTAAGTTCACCAGCTCCTGTCGGCCGTGAGATGTATATGGAGCGTAAATAGCGTTTTAACCCCGATGTGACGACCGGTAGGCGTGGGTTCGACTCCCGACGTCGACGTTTCGTGGACCTCTAAACAGTCTTATATGGTTGCCATGGTTATCGGTATTTCCACTGAATATTTAAAACTGTATACCACTTGTTGGAAAGAGAGCAATTTGACAAAATACTCTTTTATAAATACATAGATCCAGAAATTCCACCCCTAGGGGGCGACTGGGAGGGAGAGCATTGGCAGCTGTTTAAGGTGTCTGACCGTCTACGGTCCCTAGCCCTTACCACTTGGTCGTGGGTTCTAAGTGCTGCAGGTCGAAGGTTTTTTTTCTGGGTACACCTCTTGTACCTTGAAATTAAGATCTTGAAAATTTAAAGAAATTTTATTACATAATATAGGAATTTATCTTAAAACGAAGAAACCGATAAATGAAGAATATTTGTATGCCATTAAAGAATCCCGTATATGAGGTAGTATTATATGTACACATATGTTGATAAAGTGTAACTATGTATCAACACACCTGTGTGGATTTAATGTTAAATAAAGATCTTAAAAATCTTTAAACAAAACTACAGGTATCACAACATAATCACTCAGATGGTATTTCTTCGTCTTCCACATAGACATGCACACTAATAGAAAGTTTCAAATGTGTCATTGCAAAACGCGGTTATTTAAGCATTTAACTACTTTCAGTTGGCATTCATAGGCAATATGATTGCCAACTGGACAAAGTCAAATTCAATGAAATGCGCTAGCGCTTCATGTTGGATTTTTGTATTTGTCTAGTTGGAATTCATTCATCCATACGATAGTAAATATTGTGTAATAACTAGACTAAGTAATCCGACGGGCGCATACTACAGCGTATAATGGGACGATATATCTGTAAACAAAATCGCAAGTAAACTCATCAACGGTTTCCTGAAGCGAATAATAAAAATACTTTTCTGCATGTGATGCAAAGTGCATTCATTAACATTTACTGATATAACTAACTGATGATGTAACATAGCGTCATGGTGACTACACCTTATACGTGTATAACGATGCTGATACACCTGTACCGTGTAAGACAGTCATATAATCTTGTATCACGGTGAAATAAGCTGGTGTCACAGTGATATAACCTGGTGTCACGGTGAAATAACCAAGTGTCACAGTGATATACCCGGGCGTCACGGTGAAATAAGCTGGTGTCACGGTAATATAACCTGGTGTCATGGTGATATAACCTGGTGTCATGGTGATATAACATAGTGTCACGGTAATAAAACCTGGTGTCACGGCAATATAACCTGGTGTCACGGTGATATAACCTGGTGTCATGGTGATATAACCTGGTGTCATGGTGATATAACCTGGCGTCATGGTGATATAACCTGGTGTCATAGTGATATAACCTACTGTCACTGTGATATAACCTGGTATCACGTTGATGTAACCTAGTGTGACGGTAATAAAACCTAGTATCACGGTAATATAACCTGTTGTCACGGTGAAATAACGTAGTGTCACGGTAATATAACCTAGTGTCACGGCAATATAACCTGGTGTCACGGTGATATAACCTGGTGTCATGGTGATATAACCTATTGTCACGGTGATGTAATCTAGTGTCACGGTAATAAAACCTGGTGTCACGGTGATATAACCTGGTGTCACGGTGATATAACCTGGTGTCATGGTGATATAACCTGGCGTCATGGTGATATAACCTACTGTCACGGTAATATAACCTGGTATCACGTTGATGTAACCTAGTGTCACGGTAATAAAACCTATTGTCACGGTAATAAAACCTAGTGTCACGGCAATATAACCTGGTGTCACGGTGATATAACCTGGTGTCATGGTGATATAACCTAGTGTCATGATGATATAACCTGGTGTCATAGTGATATAACCTAGTGCCATGGTGATATAACCTGGTGTCATAGTGATATAACCTAGTGTCATGGTGATATAACCTAGCGTCATGGTGATATAACCTGGTGTCATGGTGATATAACCTAGTGTCATGGTGATATAACCTGGTGTCATGGTGATATAACCTGGTGTCATAGTGATATAAAATAGTGTCATGGTGATATAACCTGGTGTCACGGTGATATAACCTGGTGTCATGGTGATATAACCTAGTGTCATGGTGATATAACCTGGCGTCATGGTGATATAACCTGGTGTCATGGTGATATAACCTACTGTCACTGTGATGTAACCTGGTATCATGTTGATGTAACCTAGTGTCACGGTGATGTAACATATTGTTTCGGTGATATAACCTACTGTCACGGTAATAAAACCTAGTGTCACGGTAATATAACCTGGTGTCACGGTGAAATAACCTTGTGTCATGGTAATATAACCTATTGTCACGGTGATATAACCAAGTGCCAAAGTGACGATGCCATTGGGACGTCCTGGTAATCGTGTTTTAATGAGATATAATGTCATTGGTATTGGTACTTGGTAAGTCCCGTTTATATATACCACCGGGAGGAAACATTGTATGTCATTTTCCTCAAGAGTTAATACTGGTAGTAGTCGCCATACCGGTGCTTGGTCGGTACGCATTTAGGTATAGTGTTTCTATCAAGATGTTTCTTTAGAATTATGTATGTTTACTTATGGGAGGAATTATTTACCATTTTCTTAACAAATAAATGTTGTCAAGAAATATCGTATACACAATTACACATTAGCCGATGCACCGTGTCCTGCCTCTGTAAACTGATAATGGTACCGTATTCCTTTGATAACAAACCCATCTATTCCTTTCAATATAGATACATGAGAAACGATACCACTATGATTGAGCGTTGAGAAATTGTCAGATATTATTAGTTAGAAATATTAAAGGACTACTAACACAATAGAAAATAGGACGCCCATGTACCAGAGGTCTAAAACTAGTAAAATAGTATGTACTATAGGTACCGATTGTACACACGCATCCCCAAATCGCTGGTGTTAAAAGATAATACTTTACTTTCTAGTGAGATAAAGTGGTATTACTTGTCAACACCGCGCGTTAGTACCAAGTATGTATCAGAGGAACGTGCCTCCTCGCCTGACTCGCCACGAACTGTAGCTGTAGATAAACTCTAATTGTTAAAATGGTATTGTGACTCCACAATGATACGACGGATAGGGAAATAGACGAGTTTCCAATAGAGGTAATTCTAGTATCGATCAATTGTTCGTTATATTATCCGCAGGCGTCTATGTTATTTATTATCTGTGTCTCTATGTACCTTAGATTTGATTGGACATTTATAACTATCCTACGCGTGCTGCACTTACGTTCATCTCTTGAGGAGTCTAACGTCACTACAGAATTTGTAATTTGTGGTGACTCATTGTGTTTGATCTGAAGAGATAGGTAGCATTGTAGTATTGTCAGCGATATTTGTCTGGATTAAGGTTTGTCATCAATGAAGAGCCACACAATAGCCGGCCAGATACATGTATACTGCTATTTCGATAATGCTATACCGATCGATTTGTATTAGACCAAGTTAACATAGATCAAGTGTCGCCCTCTATCGACAGCGCGTGGTGTTATCACGGTTGACGGAGAAGTGTTGTCAACTATTGACAACACGCGCCAAGGTGACAGTTCTCGGGGAATTGATGCCCTCTATTGACAGCGCGTACGAAGGTCACAGTTAATGGTAAAGTTTTGTCCAATTGGAAGCGGCGTAGGTCACAATTTTCGAGGGTAGTGATATTCTATTGACAGCGCACGCGAAGGTCAGTCACAGTATGCGGGAAAGTGTTGTTTGCCATTGCCAGCGCGCGCGAAGATCACAGTTATCGGGAAAGTGTTGTCGACATGAAAGCGCGCGCGAAGGTCACAGTTCTCTGGGAAAGCTTTATATTGCTAGCGCGTGCGAACGTCACAGTTCTACACGAAGTGTTGTCTGCTTGCGAACGTCACAGTTCCCGTGAAAGTGTTCTCTGCCATTGATAACTTATATTGAATAGCGCGGTGAGGGTAAGTCTGTATATCAAGGAAGAAATTTGACTGTTAACCGACCGTAAAGGCATAAGACAACTGTTTCGTTACCTGATAAACGAAAGGGGTTCTTATCTGACATTATCCGCATCAAAAGTTTCCCGAAACCCGTACCTGTTGGGCGCCGCTCTCAGCCAATCAAAATTGGACAGGCAACTGTCAAAACTACGTGTTGGGTAAATCTGACTGGTTGTTGTGCGCTGCTATCAACGAAAAAATTTTCAAGTGAACAGTCAGATATTTGGTCGGGCAATATTTTTTACTGTTGATCGACTTGCTATATTTTTTCTTGAAAGTTTGTTTGGGGAACAGTTCAAACGGTTAAATGTGTATGTATGCACAGTAATGTAGCATTAATTTGCAATTGACAAGAATTACAACACATGATACACTTGTACATGGTGAAAGGCACTTTAATGGTAAACATCACAGTTGTCGATACATACAAAATCACAATTTTATCAACTTACATCTATATATTTTGTATACAGTCGTTCTGGTTTAAAGTGTTAATCCGTTCTCCTATGAATCAGACAAATTTGGCAAGTGATATTAGTTCATAATTAGTTACATAGTTTAAACAGTTTCTTGTTCAATAATCAGACAATGTTATTATGTACATATAATTTCAGTGGTATTTGAAAATAAGCTAAGAGCTTGAATAAGTTGCATGGTTGAATACAGTATTTAATTTAATACTACTGGTTTTTGTCTCGCCGCCACGAAGTAACGGAAGCGAGACTTAGGTGTTGCTTTTCCGACAACGGCGGCGGCGGCGGCAACATTGAGTTGTTTGCCTTTAACTTAGTTTCTCTGAAAGTATAAGTGCTACACCAACCAAACTTGGACCATAGATGCATCTTAGGCAGTACATCTCAACCCATGCATCAAATACTGGATGTGGCTTACCTTTCATTGGACCATTTACTCTGTCATCATCTCCATCAACATTACGTTTTTGCGTTTAAGTTAGTTTCTCTGAAAGTATAAGTGCTAGAGCAACCAAACTTGACATGTGCATCGATGGTAAAAGTTGGGCACAGGTGAGACATATCAATCCGAATGGCTTGTTAACAAAGTGGGGCAGAGGTGAGACATATTAATCCGAATGGCTTGTTTAATACCTTGATATACATTTCCAGTTTCTTCTATTATTGACAGAAAGTGTTATTTGACGGTCGCTACAACTAAACAAAGAGTGTTATTGTACAATTTCATTAAGTTCACAGAGATTGCAGATTTAATTTTCTCTAGGTATGGTGTTCCATCTGCTATGTTCACTTGGTATACAGTGGGACTTAGCTTATCTTGATCTGTATAGAATAGTGATTTGTGTGTGTGATAGAAGATTATCGTGAGAAATTGATTTTACCCCATGGATATTATTTTTACCTCCTGAATGAATCGTCAAGGTCGTGGTACAACACCTGAAGGTTGAATGGACGAGCACGAGCACGTATGATACATACACTATCGATTAAATATACGCGATGCAATCGTGAGTATGTATTTGAAGAAAAGGCACTGAGGTTGCGTGTCTTTCAGTGAAAGGTTAGAGCAAATAAATATAAAAAGAAGGTTGACATTGAAGCCGAAAGAGTTGTTATTTATTACCTAAGAAAAGCGGATGTTTGATCGTGAAAAAGGAATTGGTATCTATTGGCGAAAAATATTTTGGTATGTGTTGAAGAAAGGACACTGAGTGTTACATACATGGTATATATTGCATTATATTTACATTTGCATGGCATTGTCACTATATAGCCTCTTTGAAAGCTGTGTCGTTGATGGGACTTTAATTACCATGCCGCACGAGACAAAAATCTTAGCGTATTAATACAACACTGACCGGAACTACAATATCCAATATAAATAAACGTGACGGCTGCTGAAATATCGCTGGGCATTGTGAGATTTGACAATGTCATTGTAAATTTATGTGCAAAAAATAAAATAATAAACACTTTTATTACAACGAAAACAAGACCAAGGTCTGCAATATCGTACAAAATGCACATCGGTTGAAATCACCAATGCCGGCAATGGAAACAATTTTAACGCTCATGCAATTTATCAGAAATATCGTCTGTTACACTGCACTGCTCAACAGGGGTTCGTTACAAATGTCTGAAATACACATATTCTATAGACCTACTGACACATATGTTACAGACCTACTGATATGAGTCACAGCACACATAAACATTTCAGACATTTGTAACGAACCTGTGCTCTATCGCAAGATCACTCACTTCAAACGCTATCAGTTTCACCCGTCTCGCATCCACGGACGGTTCCTCAGTTTCTAATGACATGTCAAATAACGAGTATGTTATAGAATCTACCGACTGTTGTCAGGTTCCCATACAATCAACAAATAAATTCACGCCTGAATTTTTCACAAAATGAGCAAAGAGAAAAGTTCGAATTAATTTCCAAAAAAACCTCCCTCGTGGAGGGCAAGGTCGGATTTTACGGTGTTCACTGTATTTGTCCATGCGCGAAATTTGTTCCGGGGAAAAATTGAAACAATTTCAAATCTAACTTTCAGCTCAGAGTTCTATTGATAAACTTAAATCACCCTATATACATACCATACGCAATTGTATTGATACTGAATTGTGGAATAAAATTGAAGTGTTTGTTACTTTGTTCGCCAATCAGCACGCGACAATACGCTGTTCAAACTATTGAACGAAATTGTGTGGACTGTCGATAAGGCGGGCATTTTTAATTTCAAATATAAATTATAAGTTAAAAAAGAACATAAGAGGCAGAGAAAACGTAAATATAAATATAGAACTGTTTTTGTATGGTATTTATGATCTATTTGAATGACACAGCTTTGCAATCAAACACCATAAGGCGCGCTCGCCCATAATGAGTTGTTTGCTTGCAAAGCTGTGTCATTCAAATAGATCATAAATACCATGTAAAAGCAGTTCAATGCTTAAATAACCATCAATAGAATATCCAGAATTAACCGCTTTTGTGTATTATGGTATTCCGTCTCCGTGTCTTGTTTCTATGTTTTATTGTTTACTTCCTGTTTCCGGGAATAAAATGAAAAGTTGAATAGTGAAGCTGTTTCGATTCATCTCTTAATAATCCTCTCGCAGGTATTATTTCGTTTGGGGACTTATTGTTTTTACTCCGATTTTTTTTTTATTATTATTCTTTCTTCTCCTTCTGCTTTCCGCCGTAAAGGTTTCCGACATTTTTCTCAGACACTATAAGTCGAATCTTCACCAAACTTTGAGTGATCATTACTGATAGCCTCTAGATGTGCAAACACCTTTTTGTTTTTCCGATTACCATTCAAGATGGCCACCACAGCCTCTGATTGCCCGAAACATTTTGAGCCATAACTTTTGTCATATTTGGCGCATCAAAATAAAATGTTGAGGAAAGTATCGGTATAGGATGTGCGCTAAAGTGGAATAAAAAAATGACATTGTCACAACAAAATGGCCACCACGATTTTTTGTATTTTTTTTGTAATCTAAAATTTCTAAAGGTGTTCGCTAAAGATAGCCAATGTCACCTATCCTATTTTACATGTTTTATAGATATTTTCAATGTATATGGTACCGCGAACTCAACCATGACATCCGTTTTCTAATTAGACACAATGGCTGCCATATACTGGTCACTGATTGGTCGAAACTCTGTTATTGTTCGATTTCGTTCAAATTTAGTATGTATGTGTAATATGGCATTGCAAACTCAACTGTGACATTTGTTTTCTAATTTGACAAAACGCCTGCCTGCTTCTGATTGGTCGAAATTTAGATATTGTTTGATTTTTATGAAACATGGTATATAGGGGTATTGGGGGACTGCAAATTCAATTGCATAGTTTCGTTGCCATACCAACAATATGGAGGCTTCAGATTGGTCGAAATTCAGATATTGTTCGATTTCACTCAAATTTAGTATGAAGGTGTTTTATGCCATTGTGATCCTTTTCTGATGCATCATTGCGACTATGGGGGCAGTTTGGGGGACTTCTGTAATGGTCCCCCATTACAATTAGTACGTGTTAAGATAGGCTTGGTATGCATTTTTGTCAGTTAAGAAAGCTTGCGTTTCAGTAAAGAGGTTGGATCGACGTGGATGACCCGACTCCTTCTATTTTTTATGTAAACAGTTTCTGAAGATTTTGAAGTTAACATACAAACTACTTCACGTATATACACGTATATGCATTTATTGTATAATGAAATTAAAAAAAAAAATATAAGCCAAAAAATGTATTCTTGTTTAGCTGATCAGCTTTTCCACAACACTTGTCTAAATACACATGTAGTTCATATTATTACATAATACCAATGTAAGCCATGCTTGTATATTGCAGACGGCACAATGCGTGAACGAATGCGAGAGGGCATGACCTCGCTATGGCTGGCCATCAACCGGAAGAAGACGGTTACTGACGACTTTCATGACACGCCCCTCAAACGATGCCTCAACACCTTCGATATTACCCTTCTAGGGATTGGTCACATGATCGGGGCTGGTATCTATGTTCTCTCCGGCACCGTCGTCAAGGATCTCGCTGGACCTTCCGCGGTCCTGTCCTTTCTTTTTGCTGGATTTGCAGCCATTTTGTCGGCGCTTTGTTACGCCGAGTTTGGCGCCAGAGTGCCCAAGGCAGGTTCCGCCTACTCTTACACCTATGTCACTCTTGGCGAGTTATGGGGCTTCATTATAGGATGGAACATCGTCCTGGAACATCTCCTCGGCGCGTCGGCCGTCGCGCGAGCCTTCAGTGGCAGTCTCGACTCTATTTTCAACGGTGCCATTCGGAACAGTACTATTACAAACATTGGTTACCTGAGTAAGGAAAGCGAATGGCTTTCGGATTACCCAGACTTTATAGCGTTTTCTGTTACTATTATAGTCTTCATAGTTGTTGGAACTGGAGCGAAATTTACGATGAACTTCAATAACGTTTTTACCGTGCTGAACATGATTGTCATAGTATTTCTGATCTGCGTTGGATTTTATTTTGCCGACATTCATAATTGGGAAAATACAAAAAATGGTGGATTTTTCCCAAATGGATTTGGTGGATGTCTTTCTGGCGCGGCCACCTGCTTTTTCGCATATATAGGGTTCGAAGGAATAGCCACGGCAGGGGAAGAGGCAAAGAACCCCGAACGCTCCATTCCCATCTCAACAGTGACGTCATTAGGGATTGTCACGTTTCTTTACATCATGGTTACGGCGGCATTAACCCTTATGATTCCTTACAATGATGTCGATCCGAATGCTGCGTATCCGATGGCGTTTGCTATGAGAAGTGCGGAATGGGCAAAATATATCGTTGCTATAGGAACTTTATTTGGAATCACTACGTCTCTGCTTGGGTCAGCGTTCTCTTTACCTCGTACAATTTACGCAATGTCTTCTGATGGTCTTCTTTTTAGTATATTTGCCTACATTTATCCTAGAACACAGACCCCCGTCTGGGGAATATTTACCTTCGGAATGGTGTCCGCAGTAATGGCGCTATTGTTTGAGATTGAAACTCTCGTCGAGTTTATGTCGATTGGTACTCTTATGGCTTACACCATTGTTGGGGCTTCTGTAATTATTTTAAGATATCTTCCGGTTTACAAATGTCAATTCAAACTAAAACCGGAAGTGGAGGCCGAAGATGTGAGACCTGGACCGATTATGGAAAATGAAGAAAGTTCTATACTTAAGAAATCAAAGAGCCATGACGACTTTGGACGCCTGAAAGAAAAATTAAAAGCAATACCTTTGTTGCGGTCATTCCAGCCCGGAAACGCTTCCCTGCTGGCCACTTTCCTTATCCTGGTCTGCATTGTCTGTTTCTGTGCAACCCTGATTTTTGGCTTCAGTTATATAGAAGCGGGCGCATGGTGGGCCATCCTCCTCGTGATCCTGTTCGGTATCGCCATCATTGGCTGCTTCCTCGTCATGGTCGCTCACGAGAAGAATGACGCCTTCACCACATTTTCGGTAGGTACTTCCGGTATGGTTAAACAGGAATATTGCACGGACTGCGTTGTATGGAAACTTATTTTTTCATCAATATTTAATTCCCAACACTAATTCATAAATAGGTGATGTGCTAATCACCGGATATTAATTGATCAATAGCTCATACGTAATTATCGATGTTGTCCTGTCTCCGTTAAACATAATTCGGTATCCTATTTCCATTTAAAATCGCTTTCATTATTTTTTACTTTTTAATTCGTTGTCAAAAGTCTTTGACAGTTTTAACAAACTTTCTTGCAGACGGGGATGTAATGCAATATTCGTTTGAAATTATTAAAAATTATTTAATCTGTAAAGTTCCCCAAAACAGTAAATACCTTAGTCTGCATAGCTCATTTTATATAGCTTGCATATATGATTGAAATTGGACCAAACTGGATCAGAAGTGTTTATCATGTCCAATTTCCAATTCCCGTTCGTGGATCACTAATCCGGATTTTGTTCCGTCCTGTTAACTAATCTTATTAGTGCCAGCTATATTTTATGTGTTCTGGTTCGTCCCGTTTTCATATCCCGTTCGTGCCTCACTATTCCGAGTGCGTGTCCCGGTCCTGTATTTATGCTATGGTCCCTCTCTACATCTGATGTGTCTTGTCACCTTTTCAGATCCCCTTCGTGCCCCTGATACCGATCCTGAGTATGTTCTGTAACATTGCCCTAATGCTGAACCTGAACTACCTGACCTGGATTCGACTCGGCATCTGGATGGTCGTCGGTGAGTAACACTCACCACACAGTTTAATATCGAAAATCCTAGGTAACAGCTGAACTTGAAGTCGCCTGTTGCTGTCTCAGCAATTTATCACTGGGGTTAATCCTTTAGTCACTTCTTCATCTGAGCGTTATCTACTTTATATAGTTCTTACTTGATAATAAAGACATTGGTGTCGCCTCCATATCATAGAAACATCTCATTTAATATACAGATTTGTGTAATAGCTTTGGATATCATTATTATCTATGCACTGGTAAAATAACATGTTACATTTATTGCCCATATTGTAGGGAAACACGATTCATTCTTTCCCCGGGAATAATCTCGTTTCCCCGAAAATGATTATCCTCCGGGAAACAAGGAATTGTGTTTGCCTTACAACAAGAACAATAAATATTTTATCATACCATAATAAAACAAAACCTCAGCATTAAGAATGGTCAGAAAGACGCGCCATTTTTATCGTCTGCTTCATTCAATCGGAACTCGTGTGTCAAGAATAGGGGGAATATGACCACGGGAATTCAGTGCGTGAGAGCGACACGAGGTTGTATTTCCCCGCCAGGTGATCAATATGTTAAAAGTCATGTATTTATACGCCGTGCGCGTGCATGTATTATTTTCTAACAATCATGCACGTGCAACTTCCAAAATCCACCCTCCCATTTTAAGCGTAAGAACTTGGGGTGTGTGAATGTCTTTGCAAATTTTGCTGTCAAGTGAAAATACCCACGTGCATATTCATATTTCAAAGTTTCATTTGGCAAATTAGCTTTGCTAAGTTAGGGTGAGCATGTGCATATACGTATTTTATCATTTCAACATACATCCACATAAAAAAGTTCAACAATACCATCGGCTACAGTGTCCAGATACACCATACCAGCTGGGAGATCGACTTATGAATCGTTGACAAAATGATAACGAGGCTTTTATGACGTTGACGCGTGCAAAAAAACCAGCCTGCTTTGCATAACAGATTATCTATGTCACTTACATTATGGGCAGTATGGAAGACGTAACAGATTATCTATGTCACTTACATTATGGGCAGTATGGAAGACGTAACAGATAAGCTATGTCACTTACATAATGGGAAGTATGGAAGACGTAACATATTATCTATGTCACTTACATTATGGGCAGTATGGAAGACGTAACAGATTAGCTATGTCACTTACATTAAGGGCAGTATGGAAGACGTAACAGATTATCTATGTCACTTGCATTATGGGCAGTATGGAAGACGTAACAGATAAGCTATGTCACTTACATAACGGGAAGTATGGAAGACGTAACATATTATCTATGTCACTTACATTATGGGCAGTATGGAAGGCGTAACAGATTATCTATGTCACTTACATTATGGGCAGGATGGAAGACGTAACAGATTATCTATGTCACTTACATAATGGGCAGTATGGAAGACGGAACAGATTATCTATGTCACTTACATTATGGGCAGGATGGAAGACGTAACAGATTATCTATGTCACTTACATAATGGGCAGTATGGAAGACGTAACATATTATCTATGTCACTTGCATTATGGGCAGTATGGAAGACGTAACAGATTACCTATGTCACTTACATTAAGGGCAGTATGGAAGACGTAACAGATTATCTATGTCAGTTACATTATGGGCAGTATGGAAGACGTAACAGAGTATCTATGTCACTTACATTATGGGCAGTATGGAAGGCGTAACAGATTATCTATGTCACTTACATAATGGGCAGTATGGAAGACGTAACAGATTATTATGTCACTTACATTATTGGCAGTATGGAAGACGTAACAGATTATCTATGTCTCTTACATTATGGGCAGTATGGAAGACGTAACAGAGTATCTATGTCACTTACATTATGGGCAGTATGGAAGGCGTAACAGATTATCTATGTCACTTACATTATGGCAGTATGGAAGACGTAACAGATTAACTATGTCACTTACATTATGGGCAGTATGGAAGACGTAACAGATTAACTATGTCACTTACATTATGGGCGGTATGGAAGACGTAACAGATTATCTATGTCACTTACATAATGGGTAGTATGGAAGACGTAACAGAATAGCTATGTCACTTACATTATGGGAAGTATGGAAGACGTAACAGATTACCTATGTCACTTACATTATGGACAGTATGGAAGACGTAACAGAACATTATTTTTAGTCAACCCTGGGAGAACCCCAGCGAGGACTATTAATTTCGGTTTCTGTCGCCTATCACTCTGAAGAGCTTTCGTGTGTTTGCGCTAATAACAAGCTCTTGGATAACTCGGATATAGATTTCCATTTCAAACAGGAAAAACATACAACCTTAAGGCGTTCCAAATTTCTCAAGGAAATTACGTATAACCAGTCACCTTTGAGCTTCCCGAAGGGGTAGACTGTTTTGATTATGGATTGTTATTGAGTGATTTAGATATTTTATGTCTCACCATCGACTACCGTAAATATTCGCGTAAAGTGTGCACTTTTTTAAGGAAAAATGAAAGTGTCAATAAAGGGGTGCGCGGATACTCAAGAACGATCCAAAACCAGTCCTTGGAGGCGACCATTTCATTTATCGGGAATTTTTCGGAAATTTTCGGAAATGTTTTGAAATATGCTCGCAGCAATAAACTGTTAAATTTCGTTGAGTAACTCCTGATTGCATTGTCTATTTAACCATTACGAAAAATTGCAAGTTTAAGTCATATTATACGATCGAATCGGACAAAAAAACCTCAAGTAAAGTAGGCCTAGGCCCAACTTGCAGGTACGATCCCACGTATGGGGAAACATAATGAAGAATGGCATCATAATAAGCACTCTGGGGTTAAAATGCCGTCCTTGGGTAAAATCATGCTGAACTATTTAATCTTGACAGTAGGAATGTGTCAAAACGAGATGGGGAAAGTGGCGAAGTTTGCCAGTTAGTGTCTTGCAAAGAGTCAAGGTCGCGTGATAATATTTACCGCAGGAACTCACAAATCACATACATGTGAATTGAACCGATAATAATAAAAGTTAGAGTTTGAAAAATAAATATTAACGGGCTCAAAACAGCCAAATACATTCCTATCTTTTCTTTTTGTAGAAGAATTGCTAAAATCACAATTGTTTTGTGTTTTTCATGTCTCGTGAATTTGGCTGTTGGCAGTCCTCGTCGGACCTGTTTGAGTGACTGCCTTTATTAAGCGTACACACCCTGTCCGATTCAGTCAGATTTGCCGACGATCAGAAAACTACTTTGAATCGTGTTTTAAAAAAAAAATGAAGGATTTATCCGTATATAAGATTGAATCTTTTCTGAAAGTTATTGTTGTGAAAATAACATCGTTTTATTCCAATTACCTTTTCTGCCCATGCCAGGTGACAACAGATGTTTGCCACATGCTTTCTTATTAATTCCATGTGTTGACATAGTTACCTTAATAGCGTGTATGAGTATACACCGGTCATTATTAGACCATTTTGATTGACAGGTGGAAATATGTCAGTTGTAGCTTGGTCTATGATTTATTATACTGAAAATGATCATTTACAAATGTAGGAGATACCCTGGGGTGACTTTCATGTCATTTTAGCATATTTCTATAGTTTCATATATTTTATTTTCATTTATAAGTGAAGGTATAATCAATACATGCTGGTATGTTATGAGTGGTCTTCGTTATTTTTCTTTTCAATACAATTCTCATCTTCGTTACAGTTTTTAACATGACGCACGCACAAGTGTTGATTATTTTTTTAGATATAATAATAATAATATAATAATAATATACAACATTTGATATAGCGCACTATCTAGCTAAGATAAGCCACTCTAAAGCGCTTTATAGTACATAGATATACAATTTATACAATAAACACAATTAGCATATACATTAATCAGTACATTTTTGAGGAATTCGCAGGAGCTGCCTTATCAGTCCTTATTCTAGTCCTATGCCACATGGCTGATATCGATACCTGAGTGTAATTAAGCTGTTTTGGTTTGTTTCTGTTTTGTTTAACATCCTATTAACATATTTAAGTCTCGCAAGAATAGCACAGTAACACTTTGTCGCAATAATAGCATTACAGTGCTATTGTTAAATGTTTTAAATATATGACGTTAAATATAAATTCTTGTATATAGTAAAGGTGTGCCCCAATGTGTGTAATGTATGTGTGCTGGTGTGTATGTGTGCTGGTGTGTATGTGTGCTGGTGTGTATGTGTGCTGGTGTGTATGTGTGCTGGTGTATATGTGTGCTGGTGTGTATGTGTGCTGGTGTGTATGTGTGCTGTGTGTATGTGTGCTATGTGTATGTGTGCTGTGTATGTGTGCTGGTATGTATGTGTGCTGGTGTGTATGTGTACTGGTGTGTATGTGTGCTGGTGTGTATGTGTGCTGGTGTGTATGTGTACTGGTGTGTATGTGTACTGGTGTGTATGTGTGCTGTGTGTATGTGTGCTGTGTGTATGTGTGCTGTGTGTATGTGTTCTGGTGTGTATGTGTGCTGTGTGTATGTGTGCTGGTGTGTATGTGTGCTGGTGTGTATGTGTGCTGGTGTGTATGTGTGCTGGTGTGTGTGTGTATGTGTGCTGGTGTGTGTGTGTATGTGTGCTGGTGTGTGTGTATGTGTGCTGGTGTGTGTGTGTGCTGGTGTGTGTGTGTGCTGGTGTGTATGTGTGCTGGTGTGTGTGTGTATGTGTGCGTTGGTGTGTATTTGTGTGTAATGTATGTGTGCTGTGTGTATGTGTGCTGTGTGTATGTGTGCTGGTGTGTGTGTGTGTGTGTTGTGTATGTGTGCTGGTGTGTGTGTGTGTGTGTTGTGTATGTGTGCTGGTGTGTGTGTGTGTGTGTGCTGGTGTGTGTGTATGTGTGCTGGGGTGTGTGTATGTGTGTGTAATGTATGTGCGCTGTTGTGTATGTGTGCTGGTTGCAGGCTATGTTGAGGTAATTGCCTCCTTGCGATAGTGCAGATCTGATGTGCTGACTTTGGAGTGCTACCTC